ATTATTTTTTAATATTATATATATCATTAAATAACTATATAAGATTATTAATAAGTCATATTTATATTTTTAAAGTATAATTAATAAAATTAATTTTTTAAAATAAACTCCTAATAAATAATTTATTAAGAAAAACGTCAAATTAATTTAAATTATTTCTTTTTATTCATTAAATAACTATATAAGATTATTAATAAGTCATATTTATATTTTTAAAGTATAATTAATAAAATTATTTTTTTAAAATAAAATCCTAATATTAATAAGTCATATTTATATTTTTAAAGTATAATTAATAAAATTAATTTTTTAAAATAAACTCCTAATAAATAATTTATTAAGAAAAACGTCAAATTAATTTAAATTATTTCTTTTTATTCATTAAATAACTATATAAGATTATTAATAAGTCATATTTATATTTTTAAAGTATAATTAATAAAATTAATTTTTTAAAATAAACTCCTAATAAATAATTTATTAAGAAAAACGTCAAATTAATTTAAATTATTTCTTTTTATTTTATTTATATAGAAGACACAGTTTTCAAGTTTTGAGCAGTTTCAACATCTTACGGTACATACTTGTAATCCAACTTTTAATTGATATCAAGTTATGATATTTATTATAGAAATCATTTCCTCATTTCAAAAGAAAAAAAAACTTATTTTCTAGAGGAAATAAGTTGCAAAATTTTAGCTCATCAAATATAGAAAATTAACATTTTACAGAACACACCGATAGATTCATCAAAGAAATTCTCCAATTTCACGTAAAAACAAATTTAACAAAAAAAAAGGTAATAATATTGGGCCCGTGCTGGCACGGGCCATTACTTTCTAGTATATTAATAAAAACTAGATAAATAATATCACTATAAATTTTATTAAAATAACTTTTCATATAAAAGAAATACATATCTCATAAGATTGTACCTATATATTATACCAAATAAATTTGTAAGAATTTGATAGTATGAAAATCATTATTTCAAAAATGAGGGTCGATGAGATAAATAATAACAATAACAAGAATTTCATAAATTGAATACTAAAGTATATAATTAATTAGATAAAAATTAAATTTAAATATGATAAAAGAGATGGATTTTAAAATACATGTTTAATCAAATAGCAATCTATAAATGAGTTATAGTTTAGTCAAAATTGAGTGTCAACAACATCGAGGAAATTGATGGTGAAATGAGTGCGTGTAAGGAAATGTCAAGGCAAAAAAGGTGGCATATGCAAACTTGGTGGAGAATAGAGTCAAGGAGGAAAAGCGAGCAAATTGGGAAAGGTAAAAAATGACAAGGAGGCAAAGTGAGCGGTTACAATGACAATGCTTGTATGTTGAATTAGAGGATACATGTGGGGATAAGAAGTTGTACATCCTGGACAAGGTGAGAGAGAGGAAGGTTCAAGACTTGGACCAAAGAAGTGCATCAAGAACGGGGACGACAAAGTATAATGGGGAGGAAACACTCATTAGTCAGAGATGGCAGTACTCTTACTTTCATAAAGTCTTGAACGAAGAAGGAAACATAAACAATGTGATGAGTGATTTTAAGTACTCAAAGAGGTGTCATGATTTTGGATATTATAGGTGTATAAGGGTACTAAAGGAGGTTAAGGATTCTATTCGTAGGATGCGTAGGGGAAGAGAAACAGGACCAATCGAGATCCCCGTATAACTTTGGAAAAGCTAACGTAGAGCAGGTATGGAATGACTAACTAAGTTGTTTAAGGTCGTTTTCAAGAACAAGAGTGACATTAAAACTGCAATAACTATAAGGGTTCGTTTGGTTTGAATACTAGTTATGCTGAGATTAATTATGTTGAGATAAGTTATACTGTGATAAGTTATGATGAGATAAGCTATGTTGTAATTAGTTTTTATTACTTGTTTGGTTTGTTATATTCAAACTAATATTCATTGTATAATTTTTGAAAATAAGTTGTTTGTTTACAAAAATATCCTCACCTTATTTAGTTTTTTTTTTTTACATTTTCTTTGCAAGCTTTAGTTATTCATTCTTAAAAATAAAATTTTCATCTTATTTAGCTTAAATATTTTTGTGTGTGCATTTCCATGATTGTGCTGTATGTTTTAAAATTTAAACGTTCATCTTATTTAACTTAAAAATTAAACTTTCATCTTATCTAGCTTAAAAATAAAATGTTCATCTTATTTAGCTTAAAATAAGATTTTGATCTTATTTAGCTTAAAAATAAAATTTTCATCTTATTTAGTTTAAAAATAAAACTTTCATCTTATTTAGCTTAAAAATAAAACTTTCATTTTAAGTTTATTAAAGTAAAAAAAAAAATTATTATTAAAGTTATCTACATTTTAATTATAGATAAAATATAATTATTAAGTGAGTAATAAACTATTTATTGAAAAATATGTAATTTAGTAGTGGAGTGACATTTTAAGGAAATCAAAATATAAATAAACATAATAATTACACAAATAAATTCAACTTATAATATATTTGTTATACCGTAATTTTACTAACCTTTAGAAAAATCACTTTTTGAAACGTTCTAAATATAATACAATTTGAGAAAAATACTTAGAAAGGAGTCGCCACTTAATTTTTAAAGAAATTAAGAAAACTTAATTTAAAAAGACTCTAACAGATTAAGTCTTTAAAAATTTAAAGAAAATGGTAAGAGATTCTTATTTACGCTTCAAGAACGTTTTTAAGGCATTTGAAGCGCCCGCTAACACGCAGTTATCCTACGACTTGGTTAATATATATTTTGTCTATTTTTTAGAAAAAAAAACAATTTAACATAAAAAATAATAATTTACAATATTTGATTAACTTTGAGAAAATAGTTAAAAGAACAATTTTTTTTAAAAAAGGGACCCTAATTAGAATATTTGAAATTAATTACAAGTGATTAAAATTTTAACAAAATTGAATTTATTTGGATCATTTTAATAATAATTTACACCGATTTGATTAATTAAAAGTATGAAAACTATTTTAAATTAAAGGGAAAAGGGACGAATTTACCTCCGAACTTTAATAAATGGTATGCCTATGCCCTCCGTTATACTTTGCGTCCACATAAGCCCCTGACGTCCAATTATCGGTACACACATGCCCCTCTCACTAACGGCCCTTCATTTTGGACACGTATCTTAATCCTAATCAATTACCTGTTTGACCATTCTTTTTAACCCATATACTAAAAACCCGCCGCATAAACCCAATACCTACCCAACCTCTTTTGCTACCAACCTCTCCATTATTTTGAATCAAATTAGAATGCTCCTCATGAACAACAAAATGCAACTACAGAGACCCTAATACGGATGCCATAGAAGGAAACCCCCAAATAGGGAATGTTGCTCATGAAGTTAGATAGAAAATTATAAAAGCAAAAGTAGGTAGCTAGCTAGCTCACCATCTGATCTCTGTTTCCGAGTACGTGGATGGGGCTAGAACTGGACAGGAATATAGAGATTTGGGGCAACTCTTTCTCTTAAACTGCACCTTTTACCAGAAAGTTCATTAACAGACCCAACTTTCCTCTTATCATCTTGCATGCAACTATTATCAACACTGATTCTTTTGCATAAATTTTTTGTAAACCCATGTGGAATTTCTATTGTTTTTGACATTGATATTGTTGATTAGCTTCATTCTACTGCTTAAAAGGGGATCTTTAAATACATGAAAAATTAGCTCAATTTTGAAGAGGAAGAAGTTCAAGAGAGATTAAAAATGGTGGAAAAATGGAGCTAATGATAAAAAAAAAAGTTGATCGTGGAATTTTCTTATAGTAAAATTAGCTCAATTGGGTGTATGAGGCGGATTTTTAGTATATGGGTTAAAAAGAATGGTCAAACTGGTAATTGATTAAGATTAAGACACGTGTCCAAAATGAGGGAGCCGTTAGTGAGAGGGGCATGTGTGTATCGATAATTGGACGGCAGGGGCTTATGTGGACGCAAAGTATAACGGAGGACATAGGCGTACCATTTATTAAAGTTTGGGAGTAAATTCATCCCTTTTCCCTAAATTAAATGAAAAATAAATAATTTTTTTTTTTACTAAAGTTATTCAATAAAAATATAAGAGTTGATAAAATAAATTTTATTAAAATAAACTAACATAAAGAATATAGTTTGGCTTTTGGAGAATTCAATTAAGTTAAACTAAATCAAATAAAAGGGTTAGAATTAGTAGACAAAAAATATGTCAAATATTCAATAATAGTAAAATTTTCAGATTATCAAACATACCATAAAATGGGCCTATTGGGCCCAAAATCAGAAGTCTCTCCTCCTGGGCCAATTTTGAGCCTAACAATTGCTATGGATTAATCTGGGCTTTGGCCCAAACCTGCCCTATTTTTTAATGAGAGCCTGCAAAAATATTGTGTATACACCCAATAATATAAGACACGGCCTAAAATTTGTCTAACATCAATATATACAAAATAATAAATAAAATTATAATTCAAACTCCGTTCGAATAGCTTCAATGGGAAGCAGCTCCGTATACCTGTAAAGACATTTAGTAAAAGTATTAGTACTAAATAAATAAGCGAAATGGTCTGATGAACCTTATACTTGTATCTGTTTGTATTCTGGACCCTTTTACTTACCCTTTTGTCATCTAGACCCCTGAAGCCATCCAAACAAAATATTTTAAACACAATTTTTGATGTGGTATGATGCGTGTTACACAAACACGTACACGTTGACAAAAAAATAAAATTTTATTCCACGTATGAATATTATATTCCACATACGTACTAAAAGAATAGTCATTGTTTTCAAAAAACCTTGAAGATCTTTACTCATCAGATTATTGAAAAACAACAACAACAAAACAATTAGACCAAAATAAACACATCACATCAATTCACAAAAACAAGATCTGGGCAAAGACAATCAAAAAACCCCAAATAATCAAAAACCCTCAAAATGATTGAGAAAACACACATATTCCTTCTCTACAGAGAGATCTATGTAGCAAAACTCTCCCTCCACAGAGAAGAAAAATCAAAAGGGTATTCAAAACACAAAAGAAAAAAGTGTTATGCAAAGCTGGCCAAATATGAAAAAAGGGTACACAAAAAAGGAAGTGAATAATTGGAGTAATGGGGTTCCAAGATTGCATATTTTGGACCTCCCCTTTTCTCTCTTTGCCTGGAAAATGATTGTACTGTAATCATTTTTTTGATTTTTTGATATATTTTTTTTTTTGCAGATATACAGAGAGACAATGTATAATGGAAATGAAGAACAAAAAGAAGAAAGAAATTCAGATAAATTTATATATTTTTATGGAAACAGAGGTGTAGAGAGAGAAACTATGAAAGAAGAAAAATTTTGAAATGATGAAAAAAATTGAATCTTTTGACAGATGAAGAAGGGAGGCACTGACCATTCTTGTTTTCTTTTTTTGCTACTTTCTTTTTCTAGTATTTTTTTTTTTGTTGGTAAAATAGGGTTTAATCAAGGCTTTGGAGAAATGGTAAAATTGTCATCACATAATTTATATTAGTCTTATTTGAGTCATGACATTAGCTAAATACTTTTATCGAGATTAGGTTGACTACATCGAGCTGTCATCGTGGAGACCAACAAAAATACAATAGAATCACACAAAATAAAAGATGAATAAATCGAAGGAAAAAATAAAAGAGAAGAAATTTGAAGAGACAAGATCGAGAAAAAGACAAGAAAAAAGCTCAAATTTGTCCAACAATGGTGTTGAGTGAAAATAAAGAAGAAGAAATGGTCTTTAAAGGCAAAAATCTAACTGTTACTGCCTTTTTAAGGTGTTTCACGCTCTTGTTTTGTGTATATCACACGCTCCATGTGGAGTCTTTCCACATAGGATGCCACATCAAAAATTGTGTTTAAAATGTTGTGTTTGGATGGATTCAGGGGTCCAGATGACAAAATGGTAAGTAGAAAGGTCCAGAATACAAACAGATACAAGTACAAGGGTTCACCAGACCATTTCGCCAAATAAATATGAATAACTCAAATAATAACTTAAAAATAAACTCCGTCTTATTAACATAGAAAGTCTTGAAAATCGACAGTAATTTCTTCATTGATCAATTTTAACATACAAAATATAAACGAACTTAAACTAATTTTTCGTCTTTTGCAATGTGGAGGCCTCCAAAATCGTCGGAGAAAATTTTTCATTAGCCAATTTTAACAAATAAAGTCTATTCAATATCAATTAAAAATAACAAAAAATGACAAAAAATTATCTTAACATTAACAAAAGTAACAGTAACATGAAAAGTATAAAATTTACCGAAGGCAACACCATTGTTAATAATAACATTAAATCCAACAAAATATAACAAATATAATTTAAATTATTAAATTAATAGAGTAAACAACAATCAAAAATAAGATAAGCATAAGGAACAAATGAACAATCAATAAAATAATCATAATAAAGACAAAACTAACACTAAAACAAATAACTCGATGACAACAAATGAATAAGGTCATAAAGAATTAACAATATAAAATAATGAGAGTAACTATCCTAATAAAAGATCCATAAGTTGAGAATGATATCACAATTGAAAAAATTCTTTAACCATTAAACATTTAATTTAAATAAAAAAAATCAAAGCATAGCCACTGTAAGAATCAAAACAAACAGCAAATCAATAGCTGTGAATAAACAATCAAAGCAAAATAACACGGTATAATATCAACACAACTAATCGGAGAAGACAAATTTTATCAAACTCCGGCCAGATCTGGAATAACAATGAACGAAGCAAAGTAGTTACGACAAAAATAAAATATAGAGAATTACTTGTTTGCCGGAGCTACGGAGGTCGGCGTTTTGCTGGTTGTTTCGAATTTGAGTCCCGCCAGAGTTTGAGGTCTAGCAAGGCGGTTCGTTCCGGCGAAGAGAAGAGGATCGTTGGGGTCTGAAAAAAAAATAAAAAAATGGAGAAGCAGGGTCGTTTGTGGTGGGTGGTTGCTGCTCGTTCCGGCAGTCCATTAGCCGGAGAAGACGGTCTTTGAAGGCTATTTTTTGGAAGACCAAAATTTTTCTTTTTTTTCTTTACCTTTTAATTGCTAAAATCTGAATTTTTTCCCCACATTTTCCCCCTTATTTTCCGACATTTCCCCACTTTTTCCCACCTTTTCCCACCTTTTCCCCCCACTTATTTTTTGACCTAGTAAAACTTAAATAGAAAAATAATTATGCGACTCAAATTGTGGGCTTGGGATTGTGGTCCAAAATCATCGATCAATTTGTGTATACAAATTTTATTCGAATTTGAATAAATTTCTAGACTGTACAAAATATCAAAATGAATATTAACAAATGTAATAAATAAAAATGAATATTAAAAAAATATAATGAACGTAACTAATGACATGTAAAAATGTAATTTTAAAATTAACTGATAAAAAATCATAAATTTTGATAAATAAGGATAGTTATCGATAAAACTTATTTAAAATTATAAAAAAATTATTTTGAACTATTAAATAAATAAAACTTAAAAGTTACGAATTTTGAAAATGTTAGGTCAAAATTGGGTGTCAAAAATATTCATAAATAAAAATTGTATTTATAAAATAAAATTTTTAATAGAAAAATATATTTATCATAAAAACAACGAATAATTAAGATTGTGAATGTTATTATGTTGTTAAAAATTATGTTAATATGTATGAATGTAAAAGTGGTGTATAAAAAAGAGTTTAAGGGGGTATTTTTGTTAATTTACACACTTTATCCAAGGATAACTTATCCTGGGATTACTATACCACCCCCAGTGAGGGATAACTTATCGCAGGATTAATTGTTAATCTCAAGATAAGTTATCCCTACCTTTGCAACCAAACAATGAATTAAAGGCCACTAAAAAGTTATCAGAATTAATTTATCTTATCCATCACACCAAACGGCGGCATCAAGATGCTAATTAAATCACAATATGAAAAATTGGGAGGGGTGGAGGAGATGAGATTCTTAAAGCTTTTTTATTTATGTTATAACTATTTAAACATGACATACCATGCAAAAATCACTATATTAATTAGCTATGGTATGTAATTGACTTATACAACAGGGAGTTAAAAACAGATGGAGATTAATCCTAAATTTAATCCTTAAATAATCTTCCAAATCTAAGGAAGAAGGTCTATGGCTTTGCCTTCCAACTCTGGAAATTCATCCTTCATTTCCCTGGATTCCCTTTTATAGATATATCTATTGGATGCCCACAGAAAAACTCCCAAATTTAAGGCAGACATGACCAAGAGGAAAGCATAATAGTAATCCAAGTGTGAATCATTCATATTGTCTCCAATCCAGCTCTTCCCTCCATTACTCCCTGTAATTTTATCAACCATGGTCACCAAAAAGCTATTCAAGAAATTTCCAAGCCCAATTCCACTTGTGAAAAACGTCGTTCCGAGGCTTTGCATATCTTCTGGTGACTGATCATAGAAAAATTCCAACAACCCTATGGCATTAAACACATCAGCAACACCCAATAGCACATACTGAGGCAACAAAGAAAATATTGTCATAGGGACTATTTCTTTAGGCCCGTTGATGTGATGCATTTTAATGACGTGCATTCTTCTTACTTCCATCGCGTAAGCAAACGTGATGGCTAGAATTTGAATGAAGAACCCTGTTCCTAGCCTCTGGAGTAATGTGATTCCTCTTGGATTTCCTGTTTTCTTGCGCATAAATGGCACGAAATATCGATCGTACATTGGCACAGATAATAGCATAGTTAGAGTCACAAAGCTTCCTAATGATGCTGCTGGAATCTGAAATGTTGAACCCAAGTGTCTGTCCAAAGTGGTGCCTTGTTTGACAAACAGAGTGTTTATTTGTGCCCAAATGGTGCTAGGAATTAAGGTTACTAGCCATATCATGGCCATTCCTGTGATCAATTTCGCTCCTTCCACTTGAGTCACTGTACATGGTAGCCTTGACCCTGTATCATTGTCTTGTTTCATTGCCGCTTTGTCCAAGAACCTGAATAAAACAGAGGCTTAGTTGATAGTGTTGAGTATACGTTCTCTCTAACATCTTAAACTTTTAAATAAGATGGTCCAGACTTCAACATGTTATCAGAATAGACAAAGGTGCCTTGCCTGGGGTAAAGGCAACTCATAGAGATAGGCTCATGGTGATGTGGATCGATCAGTTGGCCAGACAGACTCCAAGTCCAATTTGATTGTAACTATAGTAACAACGAAATTTATGGTTGGTTGTGTTTTAGGTCCCTCATTTATCCTTATTGATGCAAGCGATTGGATTATTCATATGCTCCATCTATTTTAATTTGTTTGTCTCATTTTAACTTGACACGAAATTGTAAGAAAAAAAAATAAAAATTGAATCTTGTAATCTTAAATTAAAGATATGTAAAATGTAATCTTGAACATATTACATGAAAAAATAAAATTGAGAAATTACCAAAAAAGAAAACACATAATTCTCTTTTAAAACGACTGAAAATGAAAGTGAGACAAACAAATTAAAAGTAATTACTCAAATTCATTGTGCCACGTAGAAACTAGTGATAGCTGCTGTTCTTATGCAACTTGACAAAAAGGAAAGGAACCATTCTTGGAGAAGCAACAGTAGAGCAGTGTAAATGATATTACACATGGCAAATACTGATTAGACAAATGAAAAAAAACAAATACTCAAATGCTATCTATCGATCATTAAAAACATAGAGTAGTAAATAAAAACTTACCTAAATACTGGAGTGTGATGGACTTGTCGTTTCCCGGTAGTGAAATAATATTGCATATCAAGTTCATGAAGTTGTGAAGGATCATTAGGTAGTTCAATTTTCCTGTTGGCAAATGCAACAATAGGAACACGAAGTAGGTCCTTAGCAGGATGTTGAGACTTTCTAACTTTATGCCTGTAAGTTGGTGTTCCAATGTAGAAAATGATTAGTGAAAATATTAATCCAACAGTAGGAATTCCATAACCTAATCCCCAACTCATGTTTTCTTGTATGTAAACAAGTCCAATTGTAGCAAGTAAAGCACCACCAAATGTGCTAAACATCCACCAATTGAAGAAGGAAACTTTAAGTTTTTTTTCGTGTGGATTAAAATCGTCGAATTGGTCAGCACCAAATGTGGATATATTAGGCTTAGTTCCACCAGCACCAATGGCTATTATGTACAACGATGCATAGAAGAAAGCAATTTGAGACGTTGAAGCTTTGTTGCATACTCCATTTTCACAACTTGGCTTCAAGAATTTAATTGATACGGCCATTGTCAAAAGGACCATTCCCTGGGGGAAAATTATAGTTCCATCAGTCCATTTTCTTATAATTAATGAGAAAATAAGTAAGTAATTAAATATGGATCCTAGCTAGTATTCTCTCCGTTTTGATTATTTTTTATTTTACACGCTACTCAAGAGATTATAACTAAGATGATTAATTTTACTAATTTACCTTTTATATCCATATTGATGTATAATTTGTGAACAAATGCTTAATAGCATAGGGCATGAATATATATCATTGGAATAGATACAAAATAATTAATGAACTCTTGAAAAAAGATAAGTATTAATTGTTGGGGTAAAATGAAAATTTTTTAATCAAGTTTATTTTGATAAAGTAACTGGATAAGTAATTTAGGATGGATATATATTTTTAGTAAGATGATCAATTAATATGAGACAGAAAAAGTAGTACTAACCAAATGACAAAATTTAAAATCGAAAATAAATTTAAGTCACTATCGCACTAAAAGTGACAAAACTTGACTGGTGACGAAACCGAAACTCTGAAATTGAAGTAGAAAGTTATCTCGTTTTCACTCCAGCAGAGCTCATTCTCCTCTAAAATTGATCACTAAATTAGCCACTTATGTATCAGGCACAAAAATACAGGTGGCAATTAATTTAAATTTCAAACTAGTTCTAGCACTTACCCATCGTATGTTCGAGAAAGTGATTTTTTTATAATTATTTACCAATTGAATAAAAGAAAATAATATATTTAAATCTTTTATGCATATGTGAACACGATAATCTATTTTTAAGAAAGACATAAAATTAAAAACAAATTTGTAAAGAATGATAAAATCAGATTTCCTATATGATTCACATACTAGTTGTACTTGAATTATGTGAGTATTAAAAATGAAAGGATTGTCATTCAATTAACAATAATATGTGGACTATAGTATCGAGATTGTCTACTACAAAGACACTTTATTTTTAGATACTATTATCTCAATATTAATAACACATAGTTTCTTACTTCACTTTCTGAGCAGATTAAAAGAAAAAACTATGTGTAAGATATATGGAGTAATTAATATAGAGGAGCTTCGTTGGTTGGCTATATGAACTTCTATCTTAGTGAGGCCTTGATTCCCACATTGTAAACCCCTCCCAATTTTCCCTTCCACTATCCCAATTTTATTTTATTTTAAATAAATAAAAAATTAGAAAATAATTAATATAGAGTTTATTAGCAGATACCAAATACTGCATTAGTTATATGAAATTTATATTTTTTTTTAGAAACCAAAGTTTATACCATTATTTACGTCCGTAGAGTTACACATCAATAATTAGACCGTAGTGTTCTCCTTTTACATATTGTAGTATTCACGTCCCAACATTATATGACATACTTTTCTTTTTAATCGATCTCAAAAAAATAACATCTTTCTATAAATAATAACAACGGAAAAATTCCCTTCAAGATGATTTATAGTCACACAAATATTTATGACTTATTTAAGACCACAAATTAAATTAGAACGGAGAAAATATTAGTCCAAAGTCCCTTAAAGGGAGAGAAAAGGTTGTTATATAAGATCAAGAATTAGTGGATCCGTCCCATTGTTATGTCAGCTGGCTGTATTATTGCAGCATAATATATCTCATTATCAATCAATTAAAATTTAAGTGAGCATTTAATAAATTACACTCAACTCTCATATATTTAATTATTCAAAAATTAAATATGATAAAATAGTTAGTGGTGCACGGCTAGGGCAAAGCACCAATTATATATGTGGTTTTAACTTAGACACAGGTCATTTTCTAGCCAGGGAAAATGGAATTGTTTACAGGCCCTACTGAAAAAAAATAAAATCCTCCCAACAATTAATTGCCATGGAT